AAAGGAAAATTTTTTTTAAAACTTTTTTTGAGTTTTTTTTTTTTTTTTTATTTACAAGCCTGGCTTTCTCCAGCTTAATACAACCCAAATACAAGTCTTTGTGGGTTTTCTTAGATACTTCATGCAGATGAAAATAGAAGATAATCTCTGTATCTCAGCTGCTCAGAGGAAAAGGATGTGGGCGTGTCGGTTGGCAGCCAGCTGAGGATGTGTGCTCGGGTGTCCAAGAAGGCCAATGGCATCCTGGCCTGCATCAGGAACAGGGTGGCCAGCAGGACCAGGGCAGTGATTGTCCCCCTGTACTGGGCACTGATGAGGCTGCACCTCGAGTACTGTGTTCAGTTTTGGGCTCCTCACTGCAGAAAAGACATGGAGGTGCTGGAGCATGTCCACAGAAGGACAGTGGAGCTAGGGAAGGGTCTGGAGCACAAGTCCTGTGAGGAGCAGCTGAGGGAACTGAGGTTGTTCAGCCTGGAGAAGAGGAGGCTGAGGGGACACTTTGTTGATCTCTACAACTACCTGAAAGAAGGTTGTAGCAGGTAGGTGTTGGTCTCTTCTCCCAAGTCATAAGCCATAGGACAAGAGGAAACGGCCTCAAGTTGTGCCAAGGAAGGTTTAGAGTAGACAGAAGGAAAAATTTCTTCTCCAGTAGGGCTGTCAAGCACTGGAACAGGCTGCCCATGGAAGTGGTTGAGCCACCATCCCTGGAGGTATTTAAGAGATGTGTGGACAAGGTGCTCAGGGACATGGTTTAGTGGCAGGTTTGGCAGTGTTAGGGTGACGGGTGGACTTGATGATCTTAAAGGGCTTTTCCAACCTAAATGATTCTGTGATTCAATGAAGAAGTGTCAGAGTGACGATGCCAAAACAGTATCTTTAAAAAACATCTTCCACCTTTCCACATAAAACCCAAAGGGTCACAATCAAATCCCTCTTTCCTCTAAAGCTACAAAATTCATTTTCTGTGTCAACAAGGACATAAGAGGAGAGGATAAAGCAAGATTACTCCAATGGTAAATTCCACTGTCCCTCCCTGGTATGCCAAACATGTCCCACCTCCCTACCCAATTATTACCTTTCTTCTTCAGCCTAAACCATCAGAAACCTTTTTTAAATTTAGGCAGAGATATGGCACCCAGTGTAAGAAACCAAAAGTGCGTGGATCAGGTCACTGAAAATCTAGCAAGATACCGAAATTCTGGGCCCTTGCCTCACTTTATCACAAAGTTGACAGAAATACCTGTAGAATATGAACCCTCAGAGGAACTTGTCCACCTTACAAAACTGTGCTATGTTCACTAGCACCAGGATTTAAAAGCTCTTGCCTACGTCCAGCTGACATTATTTTAAACTAAACTGTCTCAGTGTTAAATGGTAATTGTTGCTTCAGATCATTCTAGTAAACATGCTAAATCACACTGCCATTTCCTAATGCACAGCCTTCAGAAAGGATTCTGCAAAAACATATGTATATTTTTTAAACTGATTGATTGATTTATTGGCTAGAAATACAGCTGTGAATTCTCCTCTTCAAAAATTATCACTTCAGCTGTGAAGCAAAACACAAACTCATGGTCAAGAGTAGATAAAATAAATAATAGATGGCAGATTCCCAACTGGTGACATCTGCCAAATCACCACAGGTATTGAAGGAAAGAAACACCTTCAAAATAGGGCAAAAGAAGAAATAATTAAAAAAAAAAAAAAAAAGGATTTAAAAAAACCTCAACACCCACAGAAAGATCTGCATCTAAAGGAACTCAATGCAAAGATAAACTAATTACTAAGATTTTAATTCTGTAACAAAGGTTGTTGTTTAGTAGATACATCAATATCACATTCTGGGCTAGTTCACTGTTACATCATTCTCATTTACCTTATCACAATCCCCATTCTTGACTTGTTTATCAGATTTGTTTTGCTTTATCGGATTTTTCACTTCTAAAATCTGGAAAACAAGAAAATCCTGTAAAAATCAAATGCATCATTGGATGCAATTACATATGAAAAATTCTGCTATCAGCTAATAATACAAAGAATATAACATCTGGAGAAAAAGGAATCAAAACTCAAAACTGAGCTTTTCATTTTTAATCCACATAATTTACTTATATTTTTCAGGCAAACAAAAGCAGCTTACAGCAGAAAATGCTGAGTTGTTGGAATTAGGTGATACTAGTATTATTAATCCTTGAAAGAATTAATTTAGTGTCATTTAAGGTCTCCACAACACTTTTTTGTATCTTCTGCATGCTGGTAGAGTAAGAGGTCTGACTTTGCATATACAAAATGATGCTGAGTTAATCTCCCATGCCTTTGAAATTTCATGTGATCAGTACATTTTTCCTGTTTGGGTTTTTTTCCTCCCAATACCGTCTCTTTTTTTCTACAGTGGAGATTCTGAAAAATAGTTTTTGAAATGACTGCATAAGTTATAAGTAGAAAAAAAATGTGTTTGACGGTAATGTCTCTTACTCTTACATGGTACCCTTTCTTTGATGCCATACAAAGCCATTTATGACCACATATACCAACCAAGAATGCTTCATCCAGTACTGAACCACAGTCAAGAAAAACATGTCAAAAAGCAGCACAACATCATGCTCAATATGAAAATCTTAGGACTAAAGTGTGGAAAATTTTGGGGAAGCAGAACTGCTGATTATTCTTCCAATTTTTCCATACACAACATACATTTTTTTGAACTTAAAAGTAGAGTTAAAGAAAAAAAAGAAAAAATCACCATGTCATTCCTGACCTGGAATATGATCAGTTCTTCTGAAAAACATCAAAGTAAAATAAATGATCACAGATGATGGGAGACTTTGGTTCATATTTCACTGTAAGACTAACAACACTAGCATGATTATCTCCAAAACCACACTGGACAGTCAAAACACAGGACAAAAATCAGCAAATAAAACAAGGAAGTAAGGTCTGTAACCCTGTTCTTCAATTGAATAGCTGCTGGGTTACTGCTGTGTAGGCCAGTGGAAGAAAAAGTCTTATTTTGGAAAAAAACAAACAAACAAACCAAAACAAATAAATAAAAAAGGCACAAAAACCCCCCAGGCCTCCAGCCGTGGATGCAGTATCTTTTAGATTATTTTCTTGTATTGAAAGGAAAACAATCCTGTGTTTCAAACAGAACTGTAGCAAGGACACAGTATATTGGAAAAAGTTGCTTCCTTACAGCGCTCTTGATGTGTAGTTGAAGTGAAAAACATCTTAAGCATTCTTGTTTAGATGAGACACAGCACTCATCACATCTGAGGACTTTTATAGAAATATTAACTTTGAATAAGGTCTTTAGCTCTACGAACAGACTTAGTCCTCACAAGCCTGATTTCATCAGTCAAATACATCATCCTGGCAAGCAGCACTATGCTACCAAGCATAGACTTCAAGTGTGGCTACAGTCCACACAATTTGGATTCTCATAAGGCTTCTCTAAATTTCTGATTTTCAGCTCAATTATAAAATTCAGCTGAATTAGAAACATGGAAAAAGGTATGTGACATTCAATTTTAGCTGGCACGCTGCTATTGTCTCGACTGACTAAATGCACGGGTAGACCTCCTGGTAGATCACCGAAGGGGAAAGGAACATGAAAGATGTGGCTGCTGATACGGAGACTTAGAATTACTTAACAGTTACGTTGCCCCTGTAGAAATTAGTCTCCATTAAACAACAAGCCATAGATAGGTGTTCTACTTTTCTTGTGCTTATGTCTCCAGTAAGTGCAATATTCTTCATCTTTATAGTTTACTTTTTCCCAAAACACTC